CCCCACTCTCCTTGGTCAGTTTCGCATGGAAGGGGCGGGCACCGATACCCTCTGTGGGTGTAGGGCGTTGGCCAGGCTTTCACATTCGTCCCTCGAAATAGTGTAGATGATGCCCGACACGTTATCCAGTCGCTCGCCCAGTGCTTCCAGTTCCGACTTGCGTGGCTCCGCCTTCCGCCTGGCGTGGACGCTGCGAATCCACTTGATGAAGTCGGACAGCCTGCCGTCCTCCCGATCTTGTGTGTACCTGATCTCGAGATGCAGGTTCGGACGGTGCGCCGACATGACGAAACTTTTGAGCCTCTCAGGGGTCGCACTCAGACCGAGCGTCATCAGAATGTCATCGCGAACTAGTGGGTTAGCAGTCGCAGTGAGACACGTGATCGGGACCGTGGGGAACGTTTCTCGAAACCACGAGAGCCGCTTGAAGTCTTTGCGAAAGTCGTGACCCCATTCAGAGATGCAATGCGCCTCATCAATAGCGACCCGCGCTAGCTCGCACTGCTGGTGCACCAACTTGAGGCGGTTGCGGAAGGACTCTGACGAGCATAGCTCGGGCGTGACATAGAGTAGCCTGGTCCGAGGGTGTCCGCTGGCGAGATCTCTATTGATACGGTCCTTCTCCTCGGGCCTGGTGTTACTGTTGTACGAGCTGGCCTTGATGCCTGCGGCTTGCAGCTGTTCCACTTGGTTCATCTGGACATCTCAGCCGAGCTCGTGGCGCCGCAACGAAAGGGGTTGAGCTCTCACCATCAAACTCAGCAGGGGCGACACGACGATGGTGACTGGAGCACGAATTGTAAGGGCGTCAAGTTTGTACACAAGATACGACTCTACTCACTGCCTTGGTCGATGCATGCTGGAAGCTGAAAGCATAGGCTCTTGCCAAAGGAGGTGGCGGCTTGCACAAAGACATCGTTGCCGTCGAGTGCCGCCGTTATGATTTCCCTCTGCTGTGGTCTGGACCGGTCAAAATTTGGGTCAACGCATGCGTCTTGCAGAAAAAACGTGGCCAGAAGAACGCTCGCGTACCTGAAGCTTTGTTTTTTGAACTGTCGACGCAGGGTAAAGTCAATATCGACACATGAATTGCTTCTTGACAGGGGAGCCATGGCACTGGTTTCGCATTGCCACTGGCCGAGAAGAGCGGTGGCCGGGGTGGTGCCGCCCGAGCGACCGTGTGTTCCACGAGGTCAGGCGAGGCAAGACGAGGCGAAGCGAGGCTGTCTGAGGAGAAAGAAGAAATAAGAATGTGTTTTGTTTCCTGCGTCATGTGGTCCCGCCACCTAGGTCGATATGGACAGAACCAAGGCCGCGCAGCTGAGTCGTTTCGGCTCGTATTCGTCGGCGTTTGTGGGATTTCTTCTCACGGTTCAGTCGGTCATGTTCACTCGTCAGTTGACAATGTCCGATACCTTCAAACCAACCCTCGTTTTGGTGTTGGGCTGTCTCGTCGGCTTCCCTTTTGGGCGGTCCGCAGGTATGGGATCTCCGCTCAACCGCCGAGACCCAGCCAGCGGAAACAAGGAGGATCAGCGTCTGACTCGACAGGAGTTCGCTCCAGTTGTAGATGTCAAAAGGATTCCTCGGATGCCCGTGAGCAAACAGAGTTGTAGGCGGGCGTGGCGTGACTTGCGACAAGAAGTGCTCGGGCGATTTGACGAACAGACATTATGCTCTGGAGGAAGAAACAAACATCTCTCGGCTGACGCCTGAACTGGAGGCCAAGGTACCTACCTACCTCAGTACCTAAGGTACCTCAGCAATGCAGACCCACCGCACCGCCTCAAGGCATCCCTCCTTCCAGGAGCGCTGTCAGCGTGTCAGGAGGCCTGGAACGCGGCCCATCCCGGGGATCTGGATCTCTCTGCACTGGGACACCCCTAAAGCTTCTAGGGGCTCCCCTAAAGACGTTGCCTAGAACCGAGTGTTACAGTGGTCCATTGCCTCCAACCACGCGAGTATTGCTCACCAAACCCTGTGCGCACAGTGACGTCCCTTGCACTGCTTGAGCGATTGGCCCCTGGTGTGCCTTGCAGATACACTAAACCATACCTGCTTTAGCCGCCCTGATGAGGTAGACCCACTGTGAGCGATGTCCTTACTATGGCCACCCCGTCTCTGAGGAGGCCCAACGCTCATGTACGCTGCAGTTTAGGTTGGAGCACACCGGGTGGGACGTCACAATTAGCGTGTTCTAGGAGCACGGCGGCGTCGACCCAGTACATCAGGAAACAAAAGGGGGCACCCTTTGGCCCCCCTTCTCCTTCTTTCTGCCCTCGCGCCAGCCGCTGGTTGTACCAAGCCTGCACGCCCGTTCCTCCACCTCCACCTTTGCTCGCCAAAGACGAAAGCTCCATGTCGGGTTATCAGTTTCACAACCCGGCGCCGTCTTGTCCAACCATTTGAACAAAACTGACCCCGATTCCCACGGGAAACATTTCCGCCTCGCCTTCTCACACGTCCTGTCCACTCGACTCGGAGACCGCCCCCCCGACTGAACTGCGGATTGTTCTTCTGTTCACCCGTTCGAAATTCCACGCCCACGACACCCATGATGAACTTGCCTGCCCCCGAGTCACGTTCGGTTTGACCTAAGGCTCGACCTCCCAAGGCACACTTTGTCTGAGACGAGACGCCTCTCCACATTCGATCATCGCATCCCTGAACCGTACCACCCGTCTCGCTCGTCGAATTTGAACATCGTTATCGATCCCTACCCCGATTCTTCACGGAGCGCAACTCTTGCCCTCTCCTTTCCGAGTGACCGAGCAGTCCGAACCCCATCGACCCGACCGGTCCAGTCTGTCATCGCAGAGCCCGACAAAGGGCAATGGACAGAATGGAAAGGTCAAATGGCCCTCGAGGCTTGCCCGACAATCCTGCCCAGGGCGTTCGACGCTTGCCGATGGGAAATTCGCTTCCACCGCCCATGCCGCCCATGCCCAACATCCGCAACACCTCCTCGTCCAACGCGACACTGTCAGCATCGACACCAATATCATCTGCGCAGGTCGTTGCGCTGGCCAGAGAGGCTATGCAGAATGCCCTCCGAGAAAACGAGTCCCAAGCCGCGGAAGCTAGTGCGGTCAGTAATGACCTGAAGCCAGGCGTCACGATAGATCTGAGTCGGAAGGGGATCCAGAAGCTCCCCGAGGAAGTGGTGGATATCATCAAGAATGAACTTGAACGGTTAGTCTGCCGCGAAGTCGAATGTCTCGCCGTCTTCCCCCTGATTCTAACTCGATATCTTCCTAAATTCCAGACTTGCTTTGTCTCACAATCAAGTCGCCTCATTTCCTTCAAGATTCGCCGAGTGCACCTCACTACGGTATCTGAACGTCAGGAACAACCAGATCCGAGAGTTCCCCCTGCCTGTTGGTTCCTCAATATCCACTCCCCTTGCGACAGCTGTCTAACCTTGGTCCAAGTTGTGCGATTTGAAATCGTTGGAGATTCTCGACTTGAGCAAGAACAAGTTGAGGGTGCTGCCCCCGGAGATCGTCAAACTTACCTCGTTAAAAGTCTTTTCAGTCCAGAGGAATCGCATCGAAGAATTGCCTCTTGCTCTAGCCGACATGGTATCATTGCAGGTTCTCAAGTTCGACGGGAATCCAATCAGTTTCCCGCCACGCGAGGTTTTACAAGTCCAGGCAACCAGTCCGCCGAACGAAGGATTCCTGAAGGAAAGTGAGGTGACGGAGATTGCCGTTACGTCTCACATCAAAAAGTACCTCCGACAAAAGGTAGTCAGCAACGGGCGTGCCGAGTCCGAAAGTGCAGACGAATCCAGTGAGAGCATAGAAACACCACGCATGCCACCGATCAAGCGAGTCACCAGCGGCCGATTCCCCGTCAAGGTCAACGGCGCAGACCCTCCGGACAGCATTCGATCACCAGCTGCCATTCGAGCCCCACCGATCCCTTCACGTTCACATTACCGAGGCCTGTCGCAGCAGTCATCAACTATGCGAAGACCAGGCGTCATGCCTCTCACCATCGGCAACGTCAACGAGCGCGTCAGAAGTAACTCCGAAACTGTGCTCCAAGCATCAAGAGGCGAACGGCCAGAGTCCCGCGCTCGGCGTATGGGCGTCGTTTCGCAAAAACAGAACCAACTTGGCACCTTGGACGAGACACAGGCCAACAACCGATTCAGTCACTATCGCGGCCTTAGCCACGGATCTGCCATGACTGGTGCCCCCGTGAGCATGGCACTCAAGAGCCCCAACAGCCCTGCTGAGCCTTTTCTACAGCGGCCGGTCTATGTGCGGCGACTGTCGATCCTGCCTGAGCGTCGACGCGAGTCTAAGGTGTTCGACCCTATTCTCGAGGCTGCGAAGGGCATTCTATACGCCGTTTTCCAGATTCATCCAATGATCCAGATGTTGATGAGTCTGACTAGCGACGGCTCTGCTAAGAGGTCGAGCCTCGAGATGATTTTCTACAACACAAATTCACATGTTGAGGAGCTAGAGCAAGAAATTCAGAACCACGATCCCACGGTGGGCGGCGAGGACCAGTCCGGCTACGACTCTGGTTATAATGACGAGAATGTGCGGCGGGCGTGCCAAACACTCGTGGGCGCCTACACCCATGTGTGTGCTCTTCTTACCAACAACATCGACTCTTTCGTCGACAATGGAGATCCACGGTACATCCGGACACTCTTGATGCTCATCTACAACAGCGTCATGGAGATCAGAGTGACTTTGCTCGCCATGCCCTCTGGGCAGAGTCAGCAACCATGGGACAACAGGGGCTTCACCGGGAACACCATCAAGCCGCACTCGCGTGATAACTCCAACGCTGTAACCCCGACTGCCGATCGCATGGGGCCGCCGCCGCAACGCACACGGGGTGCCCAGTATCTTCACAACCCTAGCAACCTCAGAGTTGCCACTGATGTGCCCATATCATACGTCAACAGCAACGGCAATGGAGGCAACCGCACCGCAACCCTGACGTCGGCGACCCCTCGATCTGGGGAGTCATTTTCCTCCAATGTATCGAGCAACCGTGGCATATCTGATTTTACGGATGACGATCGGTACTTTGAGAAGATTTTCTTGATCCTTCGAAGGTCTTCTGATCTCGTCATGCGCACCCTACCCATGTTCCAGAGCCAGCTCGCCAACGGTGCGCGGGTAGCAGCAGGGCAGCGTGCTTTGGAGGATGAGATTCGACGCTGGAAAGGGCTGATTCAAGAGTGTGGCCGGACCATACAACAAGCCGAACTGCTCAAGAACCGCCTTTCATTGATAAAGCTGAAGGAGCCAGGAGTCATGGGACAGTCCTCCTTCCGGAGCTTGATCAAGAGCTTCGTCAATGCCTGGGCAGAGTTTGCGACCGAGGTCAAATATGCCAGCCCGGTAGTTCCCCTGCCTGGCGATACAAGAACGAGACTGCGCCCGATTCACCAGGCGATGAAGGAAACGTCAGATACAATCTTGTCATCGCCATGGGGGTCCATGCTCTCTCACACTGGCGGCACGCATTCTTCCAGCTCCAGCACCATCTTCAGCCCTGGCAGCCATCAGCTCAATAACCCTCCATACCAGATGCCCATGACGCCGCAGAGCGCAGCTCTTGGCCCGGCCGTCCAGGCCACGGTGCCGTCGACGCCACAGAGCGCGTCATTCGCCGCAGCGTTCAACGGCAACGTCTTCGAACGCGCTGACGCCCTCATATCCATGGGTGGCATCTCCATGTCTCGAAACAATACCCTCCTTTCCAACCATGGCAATCACAGCTTCTCGTCCGTGGCGTCCCTTGCATCGGACGGCTACATGACGCCCTCCTCCGCCATAAGCCCGGGCGGCTTCGGTCCTGGACCCTACCACTCCCACTCCCGCCTCAATGGCAGCAAGGTCGCCTTCTAGAAGAGGTTTGCTCGCCGCCGTACAAATAGAACCTAGCAAGTTCCCTCACACGTCTTGCTTTCGTCACATATACACATACAACTCGCCCCAATGATCGACGCCCCACCTACATTCGTCTTTGATGACGTCCCACCCTTCTATTGAGGGGCATAGTTTCTTGTCTTTTTTTTTCTCTGCTCTTCTCGCATAGCATCGGCGCCGGCAGGTTTCTTTGATACACATGGAAGATAAGGAGAGCAGGTACACTCGTTTCATCATAGTTTGTGTACTCCCAATATTCCTCTTCTCGGCCAGGGCCGAAAGGAGGCTGGGTCACCACGATACAAAGGAGGCACGGCACACAGGAACTGGACATGGGTGCCATGCCTGGATTTGTTCTTTTGGCGCAAGGGCAAGGAGGATACGCCGGGCTTTGTGAATACAGGCACACAGACATGGCGATTGAGCATGAGCGGCGGTCGCTAGCATGGGCCTCGCGATGCTGCTCGTCGGATTGTGCTGTCGGCACCTTGATGTTAAATGTATAATAGAAGCTCCTGGGAGCTGGCTGTAATGTTGATCATCAATTGCCCAATCACGGGTTCAACGCCAAGGCATGTCGGCTATCAACCTCAACAGCAGTGACCTAGCTTATGTACTCAAGTATTGGCGGAGAGAATGCATTTAACGACAATATCAGAAAGCGATACTCATAGGTCTGTAGGTTTAGGCTGTCTATAGACTCGTCTCGTACTCCTCGGCAAGCTTCCACGGCTCTCAGGCGTCGAAATGCAACTTCATATTCACGGGAGACGGAGAAAATTCTCTCCAGAAGACATCCATGTATCGATCCAACCCTGCCGCGTCTCCGTCATCAACGGTCTTGATCTCCCCCTGCGGGCCAGGGGCCTTTCGTACATTTTTGAGACGTGCCACGGCGCGAAACATACTGACGAGCACAAAGCGACTGAGAGGGCTGGCGAGAGCCTGGTTGGGGCCGTAGCCAACAAAGTGGTAGCTGTCCAGGGGTCGGGTGACCAATATATCGGTCGGTCGGGGATAGACTTCCGCATTGAAGGCGAGATCAGACTACATCTGCAAGTCAGCTTCAGTAGAGTCAACGAAGTCGGATGAGCTGAAGTCGCAGCCTACATATTTGATCACGAGCTTATCCCCGACTTTTAACGTTTGGGGGTGGCCTTGGACATCACTGTCTCGATTCACAGTCTTGAAGACGCTATAGTTACCGTTCAGCCCTACACCGCAGGGTTAGGTGACCTCGCTCATCGATGGACAGATGGAACAACTTACGGATGGCCTCCATCGCATAATGCAGCAGCATGTCATCATGGTCATGGTTATCTGAGGCTGCTAGGTTTTGTAAAAGAGGCCAGTATTCAATCCCTGGTCCCAAATAGTAATCAACAACCTGGCATAGCATGCGAGATTGGTTGACGACGAATGCAGCCAGCGCAGGATGACATCGATCCAGGCAACTTGACAAACGCTGACGCCTGCAACGAGCAACTTGCGAATGACTCATAACCAAAGCTTCTTCAATTTCTTTTCAGGGTCCCCGACGTTCTGACTGGTGATCCTCGTCGTCAAGCAGCAGCATGATAGCCGGGACATTACTTATTTCAATTTCGAGGTTGTCACCGACCGACGCAGCAATAGGCTGGGCTGCGATACGGATATTGTATGACAAGACCGGGTCCAGTCGCAAGAATAAGACGGCAAAGATCGACTAATCAAAGCATCAACATTAGTGACAACTAAAAAAATGAGGTGGACTTACCACGAGTGCGGAGTGAAGATCCTCTGGGGTGTGCGCTCCGTCAACGTCTACCTGCGACTTCAGAGGCAATGGCAGCAAATGACCAACGAAGTTGATGGGTACTATTCGAAGAGTCAGTAGTTGTATGAATATCATTAAATGACATAAACATACTGGCATTGGCGAAATAGGCAACCAGGTCGATTTGCAGTGTCTGGGGAAGCTCTCCGATTTTCTCTGCCTCTGGGTAGATGCATCTTGATAATTGACTGAACAAATCTCTAAACTCTGTCTCCAGGCTTGGGCAGAAGATAGTCTTCTCCAAGCGAGCTCGCCTTTGCTCGAAATCAGTCGCATCGCCATACAGGCCCATCTGGTGATTAGGCTTCCCCATCAAGTACGTCAGCTGATGTCTCCAGCTATCGCCTGCAAAGGCGTCACTCTGGAGAATTTCCTTCACGGCAAGAGGACTAGAAATATGGATTTGGGGACTCAAAGTCCGTGTACGATCGAAGGAGTACCGAGACTCTCGCTGTAGGCGCTCCACGATGGTGCGGTTAGTCGTCGGCGTAACCAACGGTAGGTGAGCGTATATACTGCTAGGGGAAAAGGCAGTCGGCAACGCTCGCAATACCAGCTTGTGGAACACACATCCGTCGTCGACCAGTACATCAGATGCAGCCTCATGGTATCTGTTCATGATCTCGTTAGCTTTTACTCTTTCTGAAACAGATGGAAAGCACTCACCCCTAGTTTGTGAGGTTGCCTGTATGGTAATCGATAGTATAGAACCGGTCGCCGCGAACTAAGCTTACTGCATCGGAGAGTATGGCTCGACTCAGCGTATAGGGGGCGCACAACCCACTACCGGGTATCATCAATGGTTTGGCATCTTCGCTGAGAAGACCAGGATAGAGTTCAACCATGTCCGGTTGTCCGTAAAGAGCCTGGAGGCGCTGTGCTACTGCGGGGTCTGAGGTAATGTGCTCAAAGCATGTGTAAGGAAGCAAGCCAAAATACCTAAGAGACTGAAGTGTCAGGCCGATCCCTGTGCCAAAATTGAATACATACTTGCGGAAATCATTGAGAGTAGCTACACGCAAGGCGCGAGCGTGGTTTATGCCAATAACTTCCATCATACGAAGTGTTCGTGGGATATTGTTTGGGCCGAATGCCCCTACCACTTGTCAGACGAAGAAAGGGCATTGTCTTAAAGTTGCCTACCGGCAGCATCCTCGATGCTCTCGACCCAAATCCGAGCAAGATCGCTGTCAGAGTAACGTCCATCCGGTCCTCTTGTCAAGCCACCAAAAGTGCGTCGTTCGGGCGCACTGGCAACAGACTGTTCAAAGGTTGCAAAGCTATGTGAGTCTGTAGCCTCCATCCTATCTTTAGGGTCTCGAGGTAACGACTCAAGATGCGCATCCAACCACTGGTAAGAGATTAGCTGGGTTGAAATAGTGGTGGTCTCGAGGACTGTTCAGTACCCTTTCGTCTCTCTCGCTGATTGCCGAATGCCACCTATAGAGCCTTTGTTGACTGTCAGAAAATGGTCTGCTCTGACGTATATCTTGTGTCTCACAGGTTGAACTCGAAGCTGCATTGATTTCCGCCCGCTCGAGGGATCTTTTCCGTGTCTGTTTCCATTCGAGGGTCTAAACTCCTGAAATACATGTTGATATTTGAGCTGACGCACAGTTTGCTAGAGAGCTTACCAGGTCGAAGCCGTGTGGTTGAGGCCAAGAATGACGCGGAGATAGTCGTGGAGAATCATGTTAATGTATAGACCGCATACAATCAATCTTCCTGTTTGGAACAAGTCGTTGTCGAGGATCTCGAGTGCTCGTTTCCTCGTGTTCGAATCTTGGGTTCTGCTAGGCTGTGAAAACCGGTTGCGTTCGTTGATCATTGCCAGTCTTTCCACAACCCAATTGTGATAGCGATTGAAGAACTATCCGGTCAGTAGGTGTACCGCAGTCAGGGGGCACTCGGCCTGTCACTGACAACTAGGAGACAATTGACCCCGGGTGGAAAGCCATGGGTGCGCTTCTCGCAGAAGGAGTCTGGCTTCAGCTTGCCATTCTTGAAGGTCCTTATAGTGTTCTGTTCGTCTTGATTGGCACCATACAGCGGGGCAAGGTCAAGGTAAGACGACGTGAGGGAGACGCTGGGATCATCGTGCGATGTTCTGAAGATGTCGTGTATGATGATAGTGGCTAGGTAAAAGAAAACACTAGATATGCCGTTTGGGTGAGGCTTGAAACCGCCATCCTCGCGCGACAGTAGGGTGTCAAATATAAGCTGGGCCTCGGGTAAGGCTGATGGTTGCCATGCCGTTGGCTGGACGGACCTCGAGTATGATGACCCCGCCTTGCCGAGAGATGGATTGTAAAGACTGTTGTAGGAACCATCTGCCTGTCGGTATCGGTAAGGCTCTCCGAAAAAAGACTGTGGAGGGTGATCAAGAGTGTTCTACAGCTCAGCAATTATCGGCCCTGTGAGCCCTCGTCGAGCCGTGCCGTTAGGAAGCGATGCTACGGTCAGCACGACATTCTCTAGGTCCAATCTGCGGTCATCTGTCAGTCCCTTCTTCTGCTGCTGCCCTGTCTGCCGAGTGTCTGGGGGATTATCGGAACCAGGCGCTTGAGGCTCGTCTGCTGGCTTGTGCGTCATGAGATCAACAGCTAATTGCGGATAATCGCCGACTTGCGCATGTCGCGGACGACGAAGCCTTCTGCATAGTAGTGGCATGTTGGACGAGGCTTTCTCCGACCGCCAAAAGCATGAGGGATATATAGACTAAATTTATAGTGGTGAGGTAATGCTGGTGTTTCTTTGTGATCAGACAGACAGTTGTGTCTTCACGGCGGTGCATCATGTTCGCGCGTGAAGGTATTTCAAGTAAGGCACCTTAGATAACGGTGCCTTGGGCGGAAGGCGCGGACGAGGCACTTGCCTCGCTGGAAAGACGTACAGAATCACCACTGGCTGTGAGGATACCCTTGGTTGAGCTCGCCTCAACTGCACATGACAATGGCCAAAGTCAGGAGCCGATGCTACGTAGGTACCGAACATACTGTCATGTAACTGTCACATGTGGGGAGCTATGTAATCGGTCAGCATGCACACCGAGACTCCGCGCGCGCGGGGTTCAAGCTGCCCTGTTGTCGCTTTTCGTGTTCGTCCACTTCACTGCCTACCTTATGATAAGGTGCCATTCGCGACCGTAGAACCCCGAATCTGACAGGTTTCAAGGTAAAGCCAACACGCATCATCATGTCGTCGTCCGAACCGTCGTCAGCTTCTGGCAGCTTTCTGCCACCCCAAGCTGCTCCTTCTTCGACAACAACGACTAGCCTCTCCTCCCCGCGCCAGCCCAGCCTCGCGAGCCCCCGCATCGCCCCTTCGACAACAACCTCACTCTCCTCCCCAGGCCTCATCAACATCCCGCCGCCCCTCCCCGCCCTGTCTACGACGTCTACATCGGCCTCCGTTCTCCACCAGACCCTTCCCTCCCCCGACCAGCAGCGCCATGTCGCCGAGGCCCGCGCCGCCGTCGTTTGCCTCCATCGGCAATATCCTTGACTCGGAGCTGCAGTCGCGCGCCACCCATGCTGCACGCCAACGCCGCCGCCATCGGCCGCCAGGAGCGCGATGTTGTGCGAGCCACCGACGGGCTGCGGCGGGAGAATGACAAGCTTGCCAAGTGGTCGGGCGATGCGGCGCGGCGGGTCAAGGAGCTTGGCAATGTGCAGAATTGGGCCGAGGTGCTGGAGCGAGACTTTCTCGTGCTCGAGGAGACGATGAGACTCGTGAGAGAGGGGAGCAGCGGGAGTTGTGGGAGCTGGAGCGGCAGCGGCAGCCAGAGCGGCAGCTGGAGCGGGAGCGACGACGGAGGCGATGGAGGAGCGAAGGTGGACGGGGATGGGGACGTGAGGATGGCGGAAGACATGGAGTCGGGCGGCGCGAGGTTGGCGCCCGGTTCGCCTGGCAAAGGCAAGGGAAAGGGAGTGGGTGATGTTTGCGCCAACACGCCTCAGAATGCCGCCGAACATGACCCCAGCAGCGAGGCGGTGCAGGGTCGAGTTCAGGGGAGAGCGGCCACGTCGCTGCCTATCACAACTTGACACGATTACGAAATGGATGACCGTCATGAAATAGGAAGTACGATACGCACAGAACGAATAACGAGGAATGAACATATTTCAGCTTTTCCGTGTCCTTTTGTTTGAAGTTTGGCACAGCCTGTACCATGATCAAATGTGTCTTAACAGACTCGAAGCAAACGCTGGGACAAGCTGACAGGCTGTGCATGTTTCCATACTTTCTAGTAGATGCCGGGCAGCAGCACAAACTTCTTCTTCTTGTATGTCTCAGGGAATTCCTTCCGGTACGCCCTCTCCTTGCCCTTGGCCCAAGCCGACATTTGCGCGGCACCGATCGCGATGAACAGCGCGGCGCTTGCACTGCGGCAAGCAATGATGACGCCGATCCATGCGGTGATCTCGAACATGTAATTGGGGCAGGTGACCAGCGAGAAGCCGTAGCCGCGAGGGATCTTTCCTCTCCGTACCGCCCCGCGTGCGCAGGCCGGCGAGGTTCTGGTGGACGATGGCGTTGGAGATTTCGCCAAAGGCGTAGATTAGGGCGCCGATTGCGTCGATGAGCGGATTGCTCGCTTTGGCGGCCGGAGACCAGGGCGCATAGATTTTCATACGCGCAGAGAGCGCCGGAAAAGACCCAATAGAAGAACGAGTTTTTGAAAATGTTGCGCGCAGGCATGGTCGACGCAGAGAACTTGTGGACGAAGAGCGTTTCCCATTCACGCTTGAGGAAGTGGCCCATGAACATGGCGAAGCCAAGCCACTGCGTCTGTGTCAGGGGCTTCGACGCTGCGTCGCGGTAGAGGTACGGGCGAAGGGCAATGACGGCGGCATGGAAGAGAAGGGGACCGAAGTACTCCACGACGAAGACGGTCTGCCACGCGATCTGCATGCCCAAATTCTTGACAATGAGGCTACCGGACGAGACCACATTCTCCTCCGAGCCAATCTGGGCCTTGCGGTCCTTCAACGTCTTCTTGGTGACAGGGTCGAAAAGACCAATCTGGTTATGGTCCTTGATGCCCACCTGGCGGGCAATAAGGACCTTCACATCTTCGACGAGGGTGTCGGCGGGGAGCTCGAGTGTGGGGGGGAGTTTCTTGATCGCCTGCTTTGGTGCTAACACTGTTGTGAGAAGAGTCTTCGAGATGCAAGGAGACGCTTGTTGACTCACATCGAGACACCAACTTGAGGGCAATTTTGGTGACCATATTGGCTCGGCCTACTGTGGTGTTGCTTTGACAAGAAATTTGTTGCTGTTCTAGGTAGGTAGGAAATTTGGCGACACTTTCACATTCAGCGAACTGCCCGCCCAATGGAGCTTTTCGTTGAGCCTCGGTACTCGGATAGAGGAAAGTGGCTCATAAATGAATATCTATCCGCAATAATGAATGCATCCGACAAATGATGCGAATATCGTGCGCGTCTCCATTTTACACGTTCCTGGTCATCCTGACGACATGACACTTCATGTTTGGGTTTACTTGCGGTCGAGTGATTCCATCAACTCTTGGTATCTGAACGACTCTGAACATGATGCCAAAAGGGTAGTCGTTGAGCGAACGTCTATCTTTCCCTAGGCTTCCGAAGTATTCATAAGACCTCAAGCCCCTTGACCTGTATCGTTTCTCTGATAGATTGCTGGCTACCCGGATGTCTTTCCCACTTGATTATGCTATGTTCACGTTCCTTTCTGATGGCAACCTGAAGAAATGGCGAAATTCTTCTCTTTTCGTAGAGATCATGCACACCAGTAGATGTGGCGGTAAGCAGATGATTAACATACAGTGAAGGACGTTAAAGTGCTGCAGCTGAATTGATCTGCAAGGCTTCTTTCTGGGTTCATCCAATCTTTGAAAACATGAGATACTGTGCGTGCAGCATCTGGCATCTCACACATGTGACTGATCATTTTGCGACCACTCGAAGCCACATTCAAGATCCGAGGTCGCCAATGGAACCTCGCCATCAAGAGAAGGCAACTCAATTAGAGGGGCGGATATATGGGCAGTCAAGGATCATTCTTAAGTGAATTAGCCACGAGACTCACATTGAGGTTGCATCGAGCAGCATTCTGGTGTTGAGACGTGTATTATCTCCGAGCAGCTGGATGATAGAAGACAGTGTTATGTAGCTGCACTCAATTGAAAACACAGGTTTCAGCACGTAGTAAGACAATCAATGTACGTCACAATCATAGGTGTTGGGTTACATGGTGCGCAAGATACTGTACCATACCGGCTTGAACAAATGATCTAAGCAACGAGAGTAGCTGGCAACCTGAGAAGCTACATGGGGTTTTTGAACATTATCAGGATGAATAATTGACTGCCGTCATGCTCAAGTTGTGGAGCAGAATTCCACCAGCAATCTTGAAGGTAGCTTGACAAAGAGCAGTTTAAGATCTGGGATAGGGATCTTTGAGACGCGGAGACAGCTATAGAGCACACTGGCACAGTTACTGTGATCGAGTGAACAAAATTCTATCCCTTGCTATACAAGACCTGAAAATCAACATCCCTACAAGAGGCACTAAGTTTTTTCCTGTCGTTTTTCGGTGGTACGAACCAAGAGCAGAAACCAAAGGCGATCCTCATGATTGCGAGCACAACTGCGGCAGAGTCACAAATGAATCTTGTCACAACTCACTGTTCATTCTCAGATCTTGCAGCAGGACGAAGAAGTCAAAGATAGACAAAGACGACGAAAGCATCGTGCAGCGCACGGTGCAATTGGAGGGCTGCCTGCCTGACCTTGTATCGCCTCCTGTTCTGACTGGCACATCATGCAGAGAAGCAATAGTACGCCAGAGCCCCTACAATTTTTGCTGTCCTCTTCTGTCTGCTTCTACGAAACGGATATTCCTGGTAGCCTTCATACTTTCAAAGACGTCAAATCACTAGATGCCTGCTCATTTCATCAGAGTAAAGCGCGAACTCAAGCGTTAAGAGAGATACCGACACGCCGTGAACTGTCTCCGGAGGGCATCCCAAGGACCTCCTTTGGAGAGGGCATATGGCCATCGGAAGAAGTTTTCTCAGTGTGCATTATCTTCGTGGCTTCACACGCTGAATGCTCATGACACCTGCCTGCGTACCTGCCTTAGGTAATTCGATACCATGAAGTGCCCTGATGATCAGGCAGTCAGTCTACTAAATAGTGATGAACAGGTGCAGCTACCATTCACTAGACACTTCTGTACCTTTCAGCAACGCACATATTTGATTTTGGGTCGCATCTTAGCGTAAGAGGTGGCATCTTTGGAACCAACACGTCTAAAGGTTCATCATCGGCACTGCCTGCATTCGAGTTGCGCTTCATTTTTTAGCAATCATCTATGGTAGTGTCGCTGTCTTGAATTCAGCTTCAATCAATCGTCAGTCACCAGGTGCGAAATCTTGCTCTGTTCACCGCAGGCATCGACAAGAAAACGTACGATTATGAAAGGCCACAAACAAACGGGGCACCACGAGCCCGCCCCCAAGGAAAGAAAAGCAGCCAGCAGTCTTCCCGGAAAGCGAGGACCAAGAGGATTCGTCAGCCCGATACACCAGAGGAGAAAGAGAAATAGAATCGCTCTTGCCCAAACCCATGCAACCTTCAAGATCTCCAGTATGGCCAGGAGCGCCCTAAATCCGAAATCAGCCCTATTCATCCCTGGCAGGCGACATCACGGCTACCGCGAGCATGCGAGGATTCCCGTCCCAGAAAGGCGAAAGAGTAATGGCCTCCGAACCCCCCCTGCCAAGAGCAAGAGAGTTCCTGCTAGCGAGCAGCGACCGCCAGGTTTGGAACTGTCATGGTGGCCAACTCCTGAACAGGCGGCCAGGCCTGTGCCGACAGACCTACACATCACCATGAAAGCAAGAGCTGCGGCTGCGACGGCTGCTGCTGCGGCTGCGACCGCGCTCTGTGCTAGGAGGATACTGAGCGGACATGCTGTCCAATACCCTGCGAGGCCGAAAACGCCTGGCATCATATGTATCCCGCTTGCCAAAACTGGACCGAGTCAAGAAAGTGCCAGTCATTTGACGCCCAAGGATGCTTCATCACAGGCAAAGACATTCCAGAGTTGTGCACAAAACAGCAAAGGAATAGCTATCAACAGCACCGGAATCACTCGTATACCGACCTCACAGAATTTTGAGCCTCCAGCGGACGCCCCAAAGGGTCCTGCTGCTTGGCGGGACGCGCAAGTGACGGCGAATCACTTAGTCCAACAGACCCCCAATATTATCTCTCCCATACCTCGCAGCACCGTCTCCGACCAGCCAGATCTTCTTCCTTCAGCACAAAGTGGCAGTGCAGCTTCGCCAGTGCCAGTGTCGATAAAGCCGACGGGTGCCTGGTCACAGTCGAAAGCCTGGGTGAGTGAACGAAGCCGACAGCAAGCCGCCTTCAAGAAAGTGCAGGCTAATCTGGGCCGCATCAACGCTGGCGACTCGCCAGCTGTACCCAGAACATTAGCAGAGTTTCTTGAGCTCAAGAAGTGGAAAGCGAAACGCGATCAAAGGTGTCTTCTGCGGAAGATCAGCTTGCTCGAGATGAACCAAGGCTCGGGGAACATGACATCCGATGCGAGCATATCCCTGATCTCTCCGAACAGCACAGACGAAACAGACGAAGGGGGCAAGGCAGCGAGCTACCCATCCAACGATACAACTCAGGTCCCCAAGGCTGATAATGTCGCCGAGAATGAGGGTGAGAACCTGGACAAGAAGGACGACAAGGGCACACTCGGTGCCTCCGGTACCAGTAGCGAAAGAATCGCCACTGAAATCCCGAAGCCTCCTGATATCGGCAACATTATGTTGCGAAGGCTGCTGGATGGGAAAACCTTTGAGGACAACAGGTCACCCGTCTTTGCGTCTGATACATGCTGGAATATCTCGTACAGTGACAGTTCTGGAATCCCCGTACAGCGTCGTGTTGATTGGCCATCGAAGACAGATTTGCAAGAATATGGTGATATGCGCTCGGCGGCGGGGATGCGCCGTTCGCTTCCGCCCCCTTGCGAGAATAGGCTTACGTCGAGACTTGCCAATATCGTCCACAACGAAAGCCGTTCGCTGCATGCCCGCTTGAAGAACATTCGACTCGATCGACTTGGCATAGGCCCCTGCGACCACAACCAAGTGTCGCCATGGGATGGGGTGGGCATGGCTCGACAACCTCGACCAACGACTTTGGCTAGGGAACAGGGTGATAGAATGGCTCAGCCTTCAGAATCTTCTGGTTGGGTTTCTGCTCTGGTTGATACATCGAACACATCGGAAGCACAAAACACGGGCCATTGATAAATGCTCGAGTTCTTCTTCAACTTATCAGCAGCTGAACGCCTTAAACCGGGTTGGTTTTGCCAGAGAGGGCCGCGAGTTGCAAAGTTTGGACTAAGACAGGGCCTACCAGATGCTTCAAGCAGGGGGGGCCAGCTTTGCAGCGTATGAGGTTGGGTAGAGGAGAGATGCCAACCACCATTGGAACACTGGCCCGATGTCAGGATTTGGTTGGAGGCCTTGGATGAATGAGGTGGATTGAAATGGTCATTATGGCGGAACATGAGGGCTCACAGCACAATAGAGGCTGCAAAAGACGAGTTATTCAAACGGCAGCGCTCATTAGAATTAGTATTCAACTTTTGATCTTATTCGCGAGCTGGATTGTCCTCAGCTGACAATCCACTCCACTAATGGCGGAGAAGACCCTGTTCCTGTGGCTTGAGTACCAGTAAGAAAGGTGGCTGAAAAATTGATCGTGCTCTCTCACTTGGTTTGTCGGCCGCGGTGAAATTTTGCGTCACGTGAATCCTCACACTCAGCTCGAAACTCCATATGCCCTACTTGGCCCGTGCACGGTAGTGGGGTTAGCGACTGGCGCTGCCAGACTCCACGCACAACTCAAGACGAAATTTCCCTTCTCGCGACTCCGACTTCCAGTTCATCCCGGAAAAAGTTCGACAACCACGCCCAACGACCAACACCCATTCTCGATTGCCGACTGATCATCAGGTTAGTAGACGGACACAAAAGACGACGACGAGGACGAATGCAAACCCTGACGGATATCCGCGATGCTCCACGTCGGCGAGATGCATCTGCCACGATTTCCCCGGTGTCGATTTCACCTCTGGTCGTTCCCCTGCAGCCTCTACCCACAGCCCACAAATCCTGCCTTCTTGTTGCCCATCAACCTTCATTCATCTCTCGAGAAGACAGACGGCTAACCTGTTACTCTTCTCTACTCTCCAGAATCTGCAATCATGGGTATCTCTCGCGACTCCCGTCACAAGCGCTCCGCTACCGGTGCCAAGCGCGCATACTACAGTGCGTAATAATTCCGAAAGCCCGTATGATTTTGTGGGCACTTTATTGTGCTGTTAAAAACCATACGTTCTGACCTTTTCATCGCCAACAGGGAAGAAGCGCGCTTTCGAGGCCGGTCGCCAGGAGGCCAACACCCGTATCGGTGCCAAGCGCATCCACACCGTCCGCACCCGTGGCGGCAACCACAAGTACCGTGCCCTGCGTCTTGACTCTGGCAACTTCGCCTGGGCCTCCGAGGGCACCACCCGCAAGACCCGTGTCATCGGTGTCGCCTACCACCCCTCCAACAACGAGCTCGTCCGCACCAACACCCTGACCAAGTCGGCCGTCATCCAGATCGACGCCGCCCCCTTCCGTCAGTGGTACGAGGCCCACTACGGCCAGGCCCTCGGCCGCAGGCGCCAGCAGAAGCAGGCCGCCGCCGCCGGCAAGCCCGTCGAGGAGGAGGTCAAGAAGTCCAAGTCCGTCGAGAAGAAGCAGGCCGCCCGCTTCGCCGCCCAGGGCAAGGTCGACCCCGCCCTCGAGAAGCAGTTCGAGGCTGCTCGCCTGTACGCCGTCATCGCCTCGCGCCCCGGCCAGTCCGGCCGCTGCGACGGCTACATCCTCGAGGGTGAGGAGCTCGCCTTCTACCAGCGCAAGCTCCACAAGTAGAGGGTTTCGCCCCCTATCGCCCCGACAACCGCTGTGATGCATGGTATGAGTACGAGGGAACGAGTTGGGTAACGTCACCTTGTCGAGCCGTGAGGCCCGGCATAGGACGGCAATGGGAAAAGTCCGGACTTTTGTGGGCTTTGGTGTTCGAGGGTTTTCACATCGTTCCGTCTGGCACCAATTCTTTTTCGCAGGGACGCCAAACAAAAGAACGGCATCTTGCGGGCCCGCCGGCGTCTGCGTTTACCTGCCCGACTAACGGGCATTCGGAGTGGCTTGGGTTAGGAACACTGAGGCCAATTCCAAAAAGTAAAGCAATGACCAAAACCCTACCTTCCCCGTGTATCTGTCTGTGTAACCCCTCCATGCTTTAGCTCGCGAACAACGGTTCCCGGCCACAATCCACATTCCAATTATGATGATCATGCGTTTCAGAGTATGATGTCTTGTTTTTTATTTTGGTCTATCATGATCATCATTACGCCGACTCTCATGATAAAGAAAAAGTAATGCTACAGTCGTGCACAGCAAACAAACGTGCTGGCGGATTTCCAAACCACGCCGACATATGTAACCCAACTGCCCAGTTCAGGTCACAAGACCAACGATAAGCCCAAAGGGTAAAAAACGCTGTGGCAAGAAGAAGAATGGTGCGTCTTGACCCAGCAAACCGCACATGACCAGGATGAGTCGATCCCAAGAGGCGCAACTATGTAAGTGTACAACATGCCTTTCATGCTAGACTAGGTAATGAAGCTTGCGGGCACGAAATCGGACAACAGAGTATCTCCGTCCCATGATCACGCGAATTGGCGCTTGAGATCCGTCCACTTGCGAGCGAGCGTCTCGTGGGATGCGTTGATCTGGGTTGGGGAATTAGTACAAGTGGTCGCCACAAGTGTGCGCGGTGGCGGAGAAGGGTGTAAAGAACATACCTCGGCGTACTGCATCTTGGTCTGCACCAATTCCTCCTCCAGCTCTGACATTTCCTTCTCCAATTTTTGGTTTTCCTCGTGCACCTTGGCGTTTCGCTTCATGAGATCATCGCGCTCCGCCTGCCATGCCGTCTCGAGCTCCTCGGGCTGCTTCTCAATGACGTTTCGTAGCTCGCGTACCTGGCCCTTGTATGTCTCGTTCTCATCCTTGAGCTCCTCGTTCTCGACCTTGGTGTGCACGAGCTCGGTTGCCAGGGCGGCCTGCTCGCGGTCGTACGCCTCGACCCGCTCCTCGAGCTTGCGCAGGCTAATGGCATACTTGGCATTCGCAGCGCGCAGCGTCTCGAGCTCGGCCTCCCGCTCTTTTTCGGCCTTGGTCTTTTCCTCCCACTCAAGTGTATACGCCTTGAGCGTCTCGGGCGTAATCTTGACCTCGCACGCGTCACGGACAAGCTGATCGGCGCGATAGACTTCCTTGTCAATGCTGGAACTCGAGCTTCCGAAGAATCCGTTGTCGAGTATGCTACCGGCGCTGGGGTCCTTGTCGATGTAGACGTCAAAGACCTTGTCCTTGAGGTGGGTGGTGAGTTGCGACATGTCGGACATGGCGAGAAGTGTCGAGGCGTTCTTCTGCATGAGAACGATGCCAAAGCGGAGAATAGCTGACAAGCCTTCGGAGAGGATGAGGTCGTAGATTCGCAGACGAGTGAGGGGAAGCGTATGCGAGAGCGTGAGACACTGTGTGCATAGAGTGGAGCTATGCTTTGCGATGCAAGTGCAGTAGAGCGCGGGCTCAAAGTCTCGAGTACGCTCAAACTGGTACAGTCGCATATGCAGACCTGGCATGTCCTGAATGAACAGGTCACGCAGGTGATAGTGGTTCATCAGCCTCACAAGAGACAAAACGCCTCCTCCTCAGGCATGTTGAACAATAGGGGCATGACCAGGAAGTTCATACCCTGCGCGTAGCCAACACCCTCGTCAAAGAGGGCATACGCCTTGCAGACGCCGAAGAGACCCTCCTGGAGCCCGGCAGAGGCAGCATGCTTGGAGTAACTCGTCCTCGCGCCCAGGTCGCGGCGGATCGTCTTCTCCAACTTCTGAAGCATAACAGCATCCTCTTTGCTGCGTTTCTTCTTCTCAGCTACGGCAGCCTGCGCCTTCTGTACAGCCTCTGCGCTCTTCTCGAGAGCAGGAGATGCGACAGGATTGGTTCCTGACTGGTCCGAGTGAACCGAAGACGCTGACGAATTGACGGCGTCGTTCTGAATGCCCAGGTTTCCGTTGCTCGCGGAGCTGATCGACGTGCCGTTGCTGTTGCGGTCCTGGTCCTTTTCGGTGCCCCTGGCCTTGAGACTCCGGTACATGGCCTCGAGTTCGACGTTGTTACTCTGGGCGAGAACCTGCCAGATGACGCCACGGATGGCGCTGGGGATGCCCGTAGCAATCGCCCTGTTCAGCTCGTCGGCGCTTGTGCGGGCGACCACCGCTGGCCCCTCGTAGACGACAGACTGCCACAGATCCCAGTCGACCTGCGCGGTCAGACATGGTCCGAGGGACCAGCATTGACGCCCGATGCGGTTCCAGGTGCCAGTGCCGGGTTTCGGGGCTCGTCGGCATGGGGTGACTTTGGGCGGCTGGTCGGGAAAGGGCCTCGCCAGCCCTCTCCATCGTGCCCGGGCACCCGAGATGCCCGAGCGCGGTTGCTTCTTGGGAAATGCTCGCAAGCGGCCGCCAGGAGCCCTTCTCGTCATCAACCGCAACGGCTGATGGCGGGATGCCTGCTCCTCTCGCATGCGGAGCAGCTTGAAGCGGTCCTTGAGACTATTCCTGCCGCTCTCGGCATCGTGTCCCTCTCTCTCCTCGTCGAGCTGCTGAGCATCATCTCGGGGTTGCTAGCCATGGTTGCGATAGAACTGGCCGTGTTCCTTCGGGGCGAAGTGGCGGGCGGCGACTGCTTGGTGGTATCCTTCTCCTTTGATGTGCTGTTTCGGGAGAGCCACGAGAATGGGCTCGTGAGTTTGCGAGTCGGTGGTCCTGGGTTTGGCGGCAACTGCTGGAGGGAAGCGGCAGGCGGAGCGAGAGGTGATTTGGAAGGTGATTGATCGGCAGGAGGCGACCAGGGCATGGAAGGGAGGGAGCTGGTGATGTTGCTCAGCGATATCGATCTGGGTGCGGCCTCCTTTTTCGGACTATCTTTGGGGACTGCAAGATATACACTCGGGTGAGCCTAGTCCATTCAAGAGGTACACTTTTCAATGGTGAGGCAACTGACCTGGTCGTGGTGGAGGGGGAGAGGAAGTGACAGCGTCGTCCTCGAGGCTGATGTTGTCGAGGTTCGACGTGTTCGAAAAACGGTGGGACTTGGAAGACTTCGGGGATTTGGGCGAGGAGGTCACAGACTCGACCTTATCGGGCACGTCAATGTCGACGTCAACCTTGATCTTGTCCGTAGACTTTTTTGTCTCGTCGTCGCTGTCGAGGGGCGGGCTTGGAGGCCGAGCAGCTTGTGCTGTTTCGTCCTTATTTGGGGCCTTCTTGTCGGGTGTGGATTCTGTAGGTTCGGATGCAGTCTCGTGCTTCGGGGACGAGAGTGTTCTCTTGGTGAGAGAGCGAACCTCCGGAGTATCAATGGTGCTGTCGACAGCGTCTTCGAATGTGTCCTGTGCAGCGTAGAGGTCAGAGTCAGCAGCTGGGCCAAGCAGCATGTGGCTATTGGACTAATGACGGGGTGGAGAGAGGGACGCAGGTGCATGCAACTAGGCTCGTAGGTGTTCTTACGTTCTCCTTGTCAGAGTGACCAGGCGTTGAAGGTCTCCTCTCCATGGCCGCGGGCGGCGAAGCTGGCCTTTCCGTGTGTGCCATGATGATGCTGGTGTTTCTGCGGCTCAATGGCCGGCTGGCGCTGCTTTGTGACTATGAAGAGCGACCAGCAGCAGGGCAACGAGGGCAGAAGCGGTTCAAAGCACGAAGTTGCAGTGCTGCAGGTGGGATGCTGATGTGCCTATTCGAGGACCGTGGAGCACGACCGCTGGTTGGTGGTTGAAAGAAGATCGCTGGGTCAAGTGTCCCCTGTGCCGTGTCTTAACTTTGAGCGAGGGACCGGGGGCTGCCGTGGCCGATGGTGAGGATTAGAGTGCTGTAACCGACAAACGTCTGCTTGCTTGCTTGCTTTGCTGGTTTCGAGGATCAGGATTTCGAATGCTCGACGCGAGAGGAGGTGGCGTAGACGAGATAAAGGCAAGCTGTCGTGTGCATATCATCTCCCTTTTCCTGTTGATGGAGCTCCGAATCCCGTTGAGTTTAGCTCAGCCAGGCCAGACCATGCTGCTGTGTTCCTGGGTTGGACACTGAAGGATGGACCCCCCAGAGAGGGCTGGACGAATGGCAACACGCTGGCACAGCGTCCAGTGCTGGGAGGGCTGGCTGGTGGCTCAAGATGGGGTCGTTGGGGAGGAGGGTGTTGCTTCTGGAGGGGCCCTCCTAGCGTGGCAGGGGACAAAGGGATAGTGGAGGGTACGCTAAATGGAATCCTGGCAGTTGGCGCATCACCTCGGGGAAAAGTGCATAAGCTGTCTGATTTCCTCGGCAGGTAGCTACCTCGCGATCTGATGCTACCTACCTACCTGGTAGGTAGGTACCCAGATATGTCATAACGATATTGATGGTCTATAATCACCGCGGCTGAGGTACTTGATGCACTTTCTTTTGGCCGCCATCACCACTTCGCCCTCGACTCTGATGCAGCCAAACAAAAATAAAAAAAGCACTGATGCTCAGTTTGTGTGCCCCCCCCCCCCCCTCTAGAGGCTGCCCCTTTTGCAGGCTCAAGTGGTGCGACAGGGCTGTCTCGTTTCATCGTCCAGATAATCTGCAGGCTAAAAAGCACCCTCCCCTGTTTAGTACCGCACTCCATCGAGCCTCACACCCAATCATTCTGACGGCTCGCCAACAAGGCAAGCCTGAAGCAGACAAACCCCGATGGCGGTGCTAATTCGATCCGAGTTGTCCGCGGTCTGACGGGCACGGCCGTCGCATTTGTCTCCGACTAGGTCAGCTCTCGACGACGTGCCTGCCCATCGCTGTCACGCGAGGGATCTCGACTGGCACGATGGCTTTGCGAGGCTCAGGGACGCGGAACATTCCACCGGGGACGCCATCAGCCACCCATTCTTGACGCGCCTGCAAAGGCGGCGGGATCGCACCTCTGTGGGCCATGGGTGGGTGTACTGTACACGTGTTGGAATAGGTTGGTCGGTTTGCATGAACAACAGCAGAGATTTGTTCATCCGAAGTCTTGGTCTACGCTGAACAGGGTCCGTCCATGCCACCATGTCGCTCTACTGACTGGGTGACGGAACGTGCTTCGGCGTCCTCATCTCCTGCTGTGCAACGCAATGTCCAGACTACCCAACTAACCTCGCATGAGACCTGTAGTGTACGACAGCTTCGAGTCCCGAGCGATTCGTCAAGTTCCCTACCCTCAAACATAAGAGACTCATGTCACTCATGACATGTGACATCAAACTTTCCAGATTGGAATATTATTGTCTTATTGCTTTGTACCTGTGTGCATTTGGCATGCCAAACGCAAACCTTCACAGCCCCAGACCATCAGAAAGGTTCAACTATCCGCCATCATTCCCAAGCGCAACCCGACGCCATACTCAATCATCGAATCGAAACCAGGCCCGCGTTCTCTTCGCTTCCAGGTTGCAGCCTTCATACCGCGTGGTGCCCCCTTTCCATCCTTCCTTCCTTTGTACAGTGCCACCCGCTAGGAAACTAGACAGCATAGGACGACTCGTCGGCCCGGTTCGCTCTAGGCTCCGGCTCTGTGACCATAACTTCGTTGCCCTGCGCAAAGAACAGGCGGGCTGGTTGGTCGTAATCGTTCAAAATGTTGTAGTAGTTGCCTATGCGCAACGTTAGTAAAGGGGACCATGGAGGTGATACTTGTTCAGGGAAGATGAATACGGACCTCGTGGCACGTTCCAGAATCCGCCCGCGCTGATCCTGAACTGCGTCTCGTTGACCGTCACTAGCACCTTGCCGTAGTGCACGAAAAACGTCATCTGGTTCTTCCGTGAATTCTTTGGCTTCTTCTCCGTGCCCGGCGGCAGGTCCACGACGCCGGCGCCGAAGAATTGCAGGCTGAGCAGCTTGGCGAACCGGAACGTCGCGTCGCGAATCTCACGTGTTTGGATGGCGCTCGACGCGATGGCGAGCTCGTTTTGCTCAAAGGCGACCGCTTCATCCGGCGCCGGCGGGTTGAGTTCGTAGTCGGGGTCCCAGACGACAGTCTCGCCCTCGACGCGGCCATTTTCCAGCTCCCATGGCTCTGGATCTTCCTCCTCCTCGTCGACCTGACGCTTCGCCTTGGACGGTCTGCCCTTCTTGCCTGTGCGTCCGGGTTTGCGTTTCGGGGCGGCCAACTCCTCTTCCACCCGTACCACCTCCTTGACGCTCGGGAGGACGAATCGTGAGTGTTGGCGTTTCGTGCCGAGCGCATCATCCCACGCCTCCTCCTCGTCTTGCACAACGTGCTCGTTGCGCCAGTAGGCCAGAGGGCGGTAGGACTGACGGCCAGATCGCGTCAGGTGGATTGCGTCGTTGGCTTCGCGCTTGAGGGATACAAGGCCACGAGCTTTAGGCAGCGGTGGCCCCTTTTGGACGCGTCCATGATGGAATCCTCGCCGACGTCCGATTTGCGTGGTCTTCCGCGCTTCTTAGCTGCGCTTGGCGCTTCTGGCGCGTCATCTTTTGCGGGTCTGCCTGCCTTCGGCGCTGCCGTCTTCTTTGCCGGCTCGGGCTCCTTGGTTTTGTTCGTGTTCTTTGGAGGTCGCCCTGCGGGTCGGCCTGGTTTGGCTTCTGTACGCTGGCGTTTCGGCGAAGGTGCGTCCGCTGGTTCATGCTCAGGGGCCGATTCGACGAGATCCGTGACGTCGCCTATCAAAGAACCCCTCGCGGATCGTCGTCGTTTGGAGGTCTGTGATGAGCTGGGTTCGGTCTCCTTCTGCTTCTGCTTCGCCTTGTTCTGCGCCGCCTTGCCGCGTACGATCGGCTCATCATCTTCCGACTCATCTGTGGCACCCTCTATGGCAGGCAGCTCGATCGCCCTATGTTCTTCGCGTGCCTTGCCTTTCGATGGCGCAGTTGATTTGGCCTTGACTGGCTCCACTACCTTCGCCTTTGCGATTGATCTGGGTGGACGGCCTCGTCGTTTGGGCGGCGCTGGCGTGGGCGAGGGGCGTGTTGACTCGACTTCCTCTTGTGCCTCCTCTTCAGGCTCATCTTCGTGCACGTCGTCTCCTCCAACCATGGCGAGCGAATCGTCCCCTCCGTTCAAGAGTGGGGAGTCGATCCTTGGACTCGACGCCGCTTCTTCCTCCTCTTCCTCATCCGCGCTGTCCTGTCTCCCGTTGACGCCGTTGGCGCGGCGGGCGCTATGTTGCGAACCACGGTAGTCGAGCTTCCGCGCCACTGTAGAGCTTGCGGGCGGATCCGAGTCGATAATGGAACCTCGAACTGGCGAAGATGAGCGGCCCATATGTGGGTTACGCATGGCTGGCGACTGAATGTTTGACTTCCTAGGTGATGTGCCGCGCGGGAGCAATCGCGGAATGCCCTTCATCATCGAGAGGGGTCCGGGTCCTGCCTCTGCGAGTTTGTCAGCTGCGAAAGACAGTGGAGGTCAGTGGAAGGAGGCGCAACTCGGCTCACCAGACTCGAGATCCATCTCCTGCTCGCCATCGTCGCTCGGCGTGCCATTGTCCTTCTCGGGAGAGGAGAAGAGACCTTCTACAGGGGCCAGGCCGTGTTCGTCGCGTTCGCCTGTATCAGGGAGTCCAACACCAGTTTTTCTACATCGTCCCGTTAGCTGAGCTGTCGTCAAGTCACATGCATCAATCAAGGCGATGGATCATGTTTGCGCTGAGCGTGGCATGCACATACCGACCAACAACACCGAATTCGCGGTAGTCGTCAGCTTGCGCCGTAGTGCGCCTAGCATTACTACGCGCAGGTGGCATCGTGAGAGCTGCAGACTAGCGCTGTGGCAGATGAAAACAAGCAGGATTGCTGCAAGTAGCTGTAGGGCACTCAGAAGCGCGTAAAATCAGAAAGAAGGCGATGCCTGATCTAGGCGCGCATGCAGATGTCAGATGTCGAGCTGCGGAATATTGAGGTGATAGTGTTTTGGGGGGGGCACGCTCACACCGCGCCCAATCGCGCCTTGGAAATACACTGGGCTGGCCATGCTCAGGGGGGGCGTGGAACTGATTAAGTCAGGCGCGTCAGGACGCGTCGAGGGGTCCGACCTTGCCTCCAGCTGCACATGAACAGCAGCACTACACCTACACAACCATCACGTTAGCCGCAATTCGCCTCGTTTTCTGTCCTCGGTTTCGTTCTTGTCTCTGCATTGTCACATAACTATCCAGGCACCTCCCATCATCATGGGCGACACACCAATGACGGAAGACATCGCTCTCGAAACTCCAATCCCAGGCGTCTACATCCCACCCTCAGTCAACAGGCCAGCGACCCTCGCAGGCGACTCGTACACATATTACTCGCCTCTGCCGCCGAATCTCTCGCCGACACCTCAAGATGCCGCCTCGTCTGCCGTGCCAGAGCTCGCAGCCCCCGACTCGCCCGCCGTCTGCCTCGGAATCGACGAGGCCGGCCGCGGCCCTGTCCTCGGCCCCATGACCTACGCCGCCTTCTACCTCCCCATGCCCCTCTCCGACCCGCTCCTCCGCGAGACGCACCATTTTGACGACTCCAAGGTCTTGACGCCCGCCGTCCGCTCTGCCCTCATGCGCGCCCTCTGCAGCCCGTCCACCGACCTCGCCGCCTCGTGCGGCTACGCCGTCCGCTCCCTTTCGGCCCGCGACATCGCCTCGGGCATGCTCAGCACCGCGAACCCCTACAACCTCAACGCCCAGGCCTTTGACGCCACCGTCGAGATCATCAAGGGCGTCATCGCCCGCGGCGTGCGCGTCGAGGAGATCTACGTCGACACCGTCGGCCAGCCCGCCGCCTACCAGGCCAAGCTGCAGCGCGTCTTCCCGAGCGTCAAGATCACCGTCGCCAAAAAGGCCGACAGCCTCTACCCCTGCGTGTCGGCCGCCTCCGTGTGCGCCAAGGTCACGAGGGACGCGGCGCTCGAGGTCATGTACGAGGCCCACAAGGCCGCGAACGGGGGCCACGGGGGTGCTGAGGACGGCGAGGGCATGGCGTGGGGCTGAA